GAGTCCGGCTGTGGATACTGAAGTTCGTAATACACGTGAGAGCAGCTTCTGGGTTTTTTTCTTTTTTTTGACGGATATGGAGTGAAATAGTAGTTACCAAAGATTTCCATGTAGGGTTTTTTTAAGGCTAGTTTCGTTAAGAACTCACCGCTTTTCATGAATTTTCCTAAACCACACACGCAAGAGCGCCAACCGAGTATGGTTCTTCATTCCATTTTTTGTTACTTCCAATTTTCCGGAAATGCCCAGTTTTCTCTTTTCTTTAACTTGTCGCTTTCGCGTGTACTCTGTTGCTGAAAACCTGTGGAAAGAGAATTGACGTAAAACTGTTTATAATATATGAAAGGAATCAAGTAAATCAAACATTTGGACCTCTGTAATTGCCGAATGAATTTATGTTGAAAAAAAGCATTGAATTGATAGTATAGTTTGTTGTATTCTCATCTTATTTTATCTCTGAGCCGAAATTAAATTTCCACAACGTCCATGATTTTCCCCGTTTAAGGGACCGGGAAGGTTGAGATTGTCTGGTAAGTTATAACAAATTTAGAAATTGAAGCTTCTGTAGTCAAAATTTTGCGTCATTTCTTCACGCACTTTCGTCATTTGAACCTACTTTACAGAAAAATATAGAACAAATTATGTATTAAGGTTTGATCAAATGATCTTTCTATTTATCTGCTATTTATCATCTTTTTCTTCTTCGTTTTCTTTTCTTTCCCATTTGATGTTTTTCCTTACTGATGTAGCGTAATGCTAGATGGGGATTATCAAGCCCTTGCCAGAGTCCGTTCGTAGTTCTGTGCGTACTGGCATTATTCTCCTTGATGTTACAAGGGTTGTTGAAGAGCTTGTTTACAATAGCTTGGATGCTGGTGCATCGAAGGTATATAGTCTAATCGTCTATCATATTATATTGTTCTACGATGAGTCATGGTGTTTCATATTCTCCCTAGAAGGAAATGTAAAGGTTTTATTACTAATTATCAATGTAAATGTAATAAGTTCATCTGGAATATACTAAATATTTTAACTTAGATATACATCAATCTTGCTACCAAGTCCTAAAACAGTTACAAATCGTGCACTAAAAATTAGGCCATGCCATGAAATCACAGTTAATTTCTTAGTCGTTCATAACCGAGCACATTTCTTCCACTGGAAGAGAGAAACTACTTTATGGCTGATAGATTCTCTTTATCAAAGATAATTCAATATATTATTAGTTACACGCTGTGGTGTACCAGAGACCTCTCTTTTTAGGTAGCTATGAGCAACCAAATACATAAGCGATTACTAACTGATTAAAATTTAACTGAAATAATCTACAACATGTTGAGCTGTAAAACTTATAGCCCTAACAGTGGTTGAGATATGCATCAGTGCAAAAGCATGTGCATCAAAGTGTTACTAGATTTCTGTTTACTGTATTAGTCTCACACTGTATGGTTAGCCATTTTCCATAGCAAAAACTAGGTTAAATTACAAATTTGGTTCATGACCTTTGATAGTTGTGTCTAGTTAGCACAAAATTTTACAAAGTTTCAGTTACCTCTTTGATTTTTTTAAATTTTAATAAGTCCCTACCATTAACTCTATTACTTGAATGGTTACATGATATATTGATTGGACTAATAAGTGAGATTTGACATGACATAACAATGAGTATAGAAAGGTGTATGCAAGTGGGAATAAAATAAGGGTGAGAATACCAAAAGTACAGTTGAATATGTATTCTGCCCCATCGCCTCCATCAAATTTTTTGGCCTATTTGCCCTCAGTCGGTCTACTTTGTGCCACATTATGTCAAATCATTCCTTGTTAGTCCAATCAACATGTCATGCCTATATTTAAATAATGATACTAATGACAAGAACTTATTAGTATCAAAATAAAAAGTTTAAGGATGTAAATTGAAACTTAAAGTTCATGGATTAAATAGATACTACCATCAAGGTTCAAGGGCTAAATTTATAATTTAACTAAATAACAATTATTTTTTTATATCTAATTTACCTGACTTAAAATATCTTACTTATGATCTTTTGTATTGATTTATGTCTTTCAGATTTCAATTTCCATTGGCACTGGCACATCCTATGTCAAAGTAGCGGATGATGGTTTGTGATTTTCGGATAATTGTTACTTTACTTTCCTATATCAGGTTTCATACGGATACTATGAATTTGTAATATTCTTATAGGATCTGGTATTACTCGGGATGGGTTGGTCTTGCTAGGAGAAAGATATGGTGAGCATTTAAACTTCTTGCTCTTCTATGTGTACGAGTGCATCTGTGTACTTTTTTGCCTGGGTTTATTTTGAATCCATAATTAAATACTGAGATGCTCGGGCTTCCAGGGTAATGGGGATGGTATTGATAATTGTGTAATAATTTGATGGGTTAAGATGACAGCTTAGCTTTGATAAATAACACTTACAGGGGACTAGTTTAGACCAAACCTCTTTAAATATTACCCCAATATATTTCTTTCCAGAATCTAGTAGTTTTTCAATTAACGTAAATGGCACAATTATTTCTTTATCACTGGTGTGAGAAAGGGTTGAATCTGCCAATTGCTCGTATAACTGTCTCCTCTAAGAAGTGCAAGGATGTTTAAATGAACCATGTCAATTATCCTATCCAAAAACTATGTCAATTAGTTTGGGTGGTACGGCATGTTTGATATGAATATTTAATGCATTTGGTTTTACTACCTTGGCCTGTTTAGGCTGTACTTTTAAATGACTTTTATGCAGTGACATCAAAATTTCATGATCTCATTGACATGGATGCCAAAGGCAGAACATTTGGCTTTCGAGGAGAGTCATTGGCTTCCATTTCAGATGTATCCTTGGTAGAGATTATAACCAAAACATGTGGGAGGGCAAATGGATATCGTAAAGTCATGAAGGTAAAGAAGTTTGCAGCTATTTAATTACGGAGCAATATGTGCAAAGTTTCATGTTTTGTTATCTTTTAAAAATAGTTAATCTTGGTTCTGTTTGTTACAGGGTTGCAAGTGCTTGTATCTTGGAGTTGATGATGATATGGAAGATGTTGGTACTACAGGTAATGAATTCATCATCTCTTAGTTATATTATATTACAAAGAATACTTATCATGCATTAAGACCTTGCTTAGGTTTTATGCACGAGAATTTGGTAAATAGGTTTTTATTTCACAATGTAGTTAATGAAAACTTCATGAGTTTGGTGATAGCTGATAGGCACATGGATTTAAGTCGTTGATTTTGGGGTCTGCTTTTATAATTTTAATTTTGCTCGATTGTTCTTGTCCTGACTTTTAGCCTCATGAAAAACATTGATGTGATAAAACATAATTGTGTGGGATGTATATGCATATTTTGGATGTTTTAGAAAATTTGTTATTTGACGTTCACATTTTTTTTGTTTTACATGTATCTGATCAGACAACATAAATTATTAATATTATCCTCTTAGTTATCTGACCTTTAGTTGTGAAAAATATGTTAATCCACTAAATTAGCATCATAGAATTGTAAGAAATAGTGTTTGATTATGTCTTGGTGGTGTAGTGTATTGATAAGCCACCCATTATACACGTACAAGGAGGGGAAAACAAATGTAGGGGGTGGGGTAGGCTGCTGGGCTGAGGGATGTTTTTGATTGTTTCCCCTTGAGGGACTTTTTGATTTGAATACACACCTTTTGTTTCTTATCACAAAAAAAAAAAAAAATGTTAAAGGGGGTGAACTTGTCTTTTAGCAATTATATTATGTTGGTTGGGATTTTGTCATGGTGTCTGCAGGGATATATTGAGGGGGGAAGGGGGAGAGGCAAGGAAGGTAGTGGAGTTATCAAATATTATTTTCCTGGTGAGGGTTGTAGGGCTCTCAAATTTACTTATGTGTTTGTTCATTCTTTCAATTTTCAGAATAACAATCATCCTAATTTTTTTGGATTGCTCTTAGCATATCACGGGTCTTGTTTGAAAATGGCAAGGTGTATGGAGATCTTAAGACTGCATGTGCAAGCATCATTCAAATAAACTATTTGTATTACTGCACTTGACCTACTCTTGAAAGTTTGGCAAACTATTGGTATCACTGAATTTTGTGATGAACTAGTATTGAAGAAAAAGAATTGAGAATATATGCATCTTATTATGGTTTATGTCCTTACTAATTATCGTCCAGATAATTTTAAATGTTCATGTGATTTGCAAATACATTTAAGAAAACCATTTCTTTTCTTCTCCTTCGTTATATAGTTTTGCATACACTTGTGAAGGTCAATACTGCATGAGGGTTCTTTGTCTTTTTCTTCTGTAGTTATTGTTCGAGATTTGTTTTACAACCAACCAGTTCGAAGGAAACAAATGCAATCCAGGTTTTATTTTATTTTGTTATTATTATTATCATTATTTTGGGTATAAGAAACAAAACTTTTAAGTAATTCAAGAGTTGACCTATGGATAATGCTGTTCTTACGAGGAGAAAGGAGAAAATTGAGTTGTATCATTGTTTAAGAAAACTGAAAAGGAAAAATGTAAAATATAGGGCTTTTTGGGAATGAAGTTTAAAGTGTCTGGTTTTAGAAACAATAGTATTTTTCCAACTTAGAATCCCTAAAGCGAATTTGGTAGCATGTTCTTAAGAAATATCAAATAAAAGCAACATTTTATTGCTTTAAGTGTTTTTTTTTGTTGGAATTATTTAAAAAAATAAGAACATTGATTAGTTTTCAAATATTATTGTACAAAATATGTTTTTAAAAAATGTTCAGAAAATACCCAAATAGGCCTTAACTTCTTAGCTGTGTAGAATGAAGTATTATAATTGAATTTTCCTGACATGTGCGCTTCTGATTTGCATACTGGAACTTGAAGCCCCAAGAAGGTCTTGCAGGCAGTAAAGAAATGTGTAGTTCGTATTGCCCTTGTACATTCTAAAGTTTCCTTCAAACTTGTAGATTGTGAAAGGTAACCTATTAGATTTAGGTTGGAATGTGTAAATCTTTATGTTAGTTTTTTCACAATTTTATTTCTCTGCATGTAGTGAGAGCAACGTTCTTTGCACATATCCCTCGTCCTCTCCTTTGTCACTTTTGAGAAGTGGCTTTGGTAGTGAGGTCTCGAGGTCTCTCCATGAAGTGAAAATTGGTGATGGGGACTTAAAACTTTCTGGCTATATATGCAGTCCGTTTGACAGTTTTACTATTAAGGTATAACGGTCTTGTTGAAAGAAGGCTATTTCTGTTTATTTTATTTTATTTTTATTTTATTTTATCATTTTTATGGCAGGCTGTTCAATATTTCTGTATCCACACCAGTCTGAATTCTTTAGATCTACGGCGGGTGGATAGCATTCAGTATTTTGTGAAATTGTTTTGACCTCAGCAAGGACAGATATTAACAGGCGATTTATTTGCAAGGGCCAAATTCATAAATTACTTAATCAACTGGCCAATAGATTTATAAGGCTGGATCCGCAGACTGACCATGTCTTTCACAGCAGGAAGAGAAGCAGGCCTGACGCAAATCCTGCCTATATTTTAAATTTAGATTGCCCTGGATCTTTCTATGACCTAATATTTGAATCATCCAAGACCTTTGTTCAGTTCAAGGTAATTCTTTATTTGTTCTCCAAATGAGTTCATTTTTTATTTTTGGTAATGAAAATGATTATAAAATCTTCTACTAACATTAAGGATTTATGGTGCCTTTATTTGATAGGGATATTTTGTTTTTATCACAATTTAATGGCTCTGTAGAATATTTTTTATCCTTGGATCCTTCAATTTTTCTAATCAATCTTTTCTCATTTCCTTCTGTTTTCATTTCCTGAGGACTGGACTCCGATACTTACCTTCATTGAAGAGGCCATTCAACGGTTTTGGAAGGATGAATATAATTGTGGTATGCAATTAGCCATATCTTTGACGCCATAGTGATTTTCATATCAACTTTTTGAAGTTACATTTTACATTTGCAGGAAAATATTTGGTCCATACATCCCCCATAGTTAGAGAAGATCGGTTGTGGAAGGATGAAGATAACATGATATTGAAAAAATCAGGTGAAACTACTTTTAGGCTAAACTTTGAAGCTTGATCTCAAATCTCAATTTGATTCATTAAACATATATATGCATACCAAGAAAACCGGCAGTGTAAAAATACCTGGTTCAATTTCTGAATATCATTTCTGAAAATATTTCTTTTTTAGATTCTCCTGAGGATGTCATACTTTTTCCCCCCGAGAATGTTGAACCTGTGAAGAAGAGCAAAATGCAGAGGCATCAGGCTTCCGTTATTGATTTGTTTTCACCATCTGCAATGTTTATAAAAGAAGATCACCTCTTGTCCCATAGGTTGCATGACAAAAAGGCACGTGAATTGAATGTTGATGTCCAACAAACAAGGATGGAATTTAGTTATCAGGCTGACCCTTTCTTAAAATCATGGGATATTCCCTTGGCGAAGTGCACAACTGCAGCTGTCCAAAAGAATGACCGGAATCCATGGGTACCTGATAGCTATTGTGTATCTGAAGTCTCCCTTTTAGATAGAAGGTTGACTTCTCCCAAAATTTTTGATGACAATGTTGAGGACAATATCTTCAGTCCAGAATGGAATGGTCAATCATCTAAAGTGCATAATACGATCAATGGGACTGATGGAAGTATTCCATCTTCTAACTTTCATGAATTTAGGTATGATGACAATGACTTCACTGATACCAAACCCTTCCCGAGGGGATGCCTCTCAGGAAGCAGTTTTCGACTGGAGAGGACTTTGATTCCTGGTGACAAACTGAATATTCACAATAATGTTGTCAGAAGAACCCAAATGCAGGGAATCCCTGATGACGAAGTTGATGTTCTAAAGCTTGACAGTTACATCCAGGGTTCTGATTTTTGTGCAGGAACCTCATTGCAGGCTGAGGTATGCTCTCTGACCCTTCCTAGAGCTAACAATTTATGCATTTCTCAAGATGTATTTCTGTCCAAAGATTTTTGTTTAGAATATAACTTTTTTTTTGGACATTAGTTAGCTGAAGAAAATATACACGCATCGCATTTCAACAAGCGTGTGCAGAAGTTTTTCCCAATTTATCAGACCAGAAATTCCCCAAATTCTCATGTGACCTCCAGTCCCATATTAGCCACAGAATGGGATGTTGATTGCTTCATTGTTAAGGATGCAGTTGAAAGGAGCTGGAGATCTAGAGATAGGACACCCTTCAGGGATTTGGCAGATGGTGAGGAAAGAGGCTGGGAATTTGATGATGATATTATGTTGAAAGGTTCCAACAAAAAAAATGACTTCTCAAGTTGTATTGATAGTACACTGACAATTGATGATGTTTTTGATACAGGACTAGGCCTTAGTAAATTTCTTGAAAAACCAAGTTATTTTAAACATTCTTCTCCTGTGAGTCCAGATATGCACTCTTGTCAAAAAGATGTTTTTAATTGGAGATTATTTGGAAAAGTTTGTGAAAAAGCTTATGAAAGCCCCGAGCTTGAGTTTGGACATCAAGCTTTCAAACAGAATTATCTTTCTATTGAAAGGCCAAAAAGATGCAAATCAGCTCCACCTTTCTACAAAAGAAAGACTAGTTTCTATTGCCTGGACCAAAGAAAGGCAGAAAAGCTTAACGCCACTAGTTTGGATTGCCTGAACCAAAGAAAGACAGAAAAGTTCAATGCCACTAATTCCTATTGCATGGACCAAGGGAAAGTAGAAAAGCTCAAGGCATCGGTCTTCCTTGACACCCCCCCTCATTTAGGTATTTTATTTCAAAATTTATTACCAGCAAGATTTTGTTGTCACTATGAAGTACTAATTTTGTGCCCTTGTACCACACAGAACTAGATGAGCCGAGAGATTCCAAACGTTTCTTTGGTACAAGTAATCTGATTGTTAAGCCATGTCCTGTTAATGACTTATTGATAGGAACCAGGTGGAGAGCCATTCCTTTCCTCTATAAATTTTAAGGTTGTAATAGTTGTTTTCAATATAAAGCACTTTTTCCTCACTTTCAGAACGGATACGAAAAGGATTCATGATTTTAAGGAAAATAATAATGAGAACCAAGGAGGAGAAATTTCCAAGCAGTCCCAATCCCTCGATGATAAAGTTACCACATCTGCTATAGGTAACTGCACTATGCATATGAAACTGATTCTTTCTTTGTTCTTAAGGATTTGTGATGACTAATATGAGATTTCAATATTTAGAGGGGGAAGTGGTTCTGAAGCATCCTTATTTGATTAGAAAAACATCGAAAGATGCTTGTGCTATTAATTTCTTCTCATGATTTCTTTGTTCTTAAGGATTCGTCATGACTCATGTGAGATTTTAATATTTAGAGAGGGCAGTGGTTCTGAAGCATCCTTATTTGATTAAAAAAACATCGAATGATGCTTGTGCTATTAATTTCTTCTCATGCAGGTTTTAGTAATTTAATCATTGAGGTAATAGTGTTTGATAAGGTTACTAAGTTAATTGCTCATCCAAAAATTAGCTTTTATAGCTAATTAGCATGCCCACATTGGTATAATTTTGCTGTACTGGAATATTGACTTTTATACGATGGTAGTAACATCTTTATTGGCTGGAAAAATTACTTCAGTGCTTTTTGTCGTCATCATATTAGCTAAATTCTTAAATATCCTCCCCATCTATTTAAATTGCATAGTTTTGACCCTGTTTCACCTCTAGAATTATGCTCAAAGGAAACTCAAGAGTCGTCAGATTTATGGATCAAATGGCAACATTGCTGTCCAGTTGCAGTTAAGTTTGAAACTTAATTTGTTTACTTTAGTTTGATATGAGGCTTTGTTTTGGGGATTTCTTTTTATTTATTTATTTGAGTAACGTTTAATAGTTCTCTCTTTTTTCTAATTTATTTCAGAGAAATTATGAGTCACATGCTTCAGAAGATGAAATTAGTATACTTGATATCTCTTCAGGGTTCCTATCTCTTGCCAGCAATTCCTTAGTTCCCAATTCCATTGATAAGAACTTCCTTGAAGATGCCAAGGTTCTTCTACAGCTGGATAATAAATTCATACCAGTTGTTTCTGGTGGCACGCTGGCTGTTATTGATCAGGTTAGTTCACTTCCTTTTAGGTATTTTTTTGTTTTTTCTGGTCCTGGGTCTGCTAGGTTGTTTTCAGTGAGAGACAATTTTTCCTCTTTTTTCCTGTACACGGTCACCAAATTAGTCAGTGGCTGTGAAGTTCTAACTAAAAATTTGTTATGTTTTTCAAGGAGATGGAAGCCAAATGGTTTTTGTAATGCTTGGATGGAAATCCTGTTAGACTGTACATGTGGCTGATTGTTCAAGTAGACCGATAGATAAATGCAAGAATCTTGGCAGAATTAAGGGTTAAGATTGATTTTTTCCATAAAAAATTAAGGGTTAAGATTGGTAGCTGAAAAGCACGCATCATTATATGTTTTAGATATGCGGATAAGTATTATTAATGAGTTGGGTCCAATCATCCATTGTTGGAGTTAACAATTGAGAATGATTGGGTTATAAGTTTGGCGGATACCTATGGTTATAAATAGAAGTTATTTCTTGATAATTTATGTCTTCCTTTTAGTGGTGGTCCCAAGTCTACGACCTTTTAAGAGCTTTTAGTGAAAAGAATCTCTGCCAGATTGACTAAGTGGAAGAAAATTCCTATTATTAAAGGTGTTGACTAACTATTATCTAAAAGCTTTTGCATTGCGTTGCTGGATATGAGGTAAAAAAACTGTTTTCGAGTAGCTTGGGCATTGTGCTGTCAGGAGATGCACTATGGTGCCATTGAATTACCACGTACTTGTTTTATTCAGTGTGCTTCAACATGCCTCATGGTGCAAAGGAAGCATGCGCTGTGGTGTGAGGTCCACTATGGTGCCAATGAACTACCATGTAGTTATTCGGTGTGTTTTAACATGCATCGTGGTGCAAAGGAGGTTTGTGCTGTGGTGTGAGGTCCATAGGAGATGAGAACAYTGTAGCCAAAAAGAGAACAATGTACTTGAGGTTTGGACTTGATTGAGAGAAAATAGAGATGGAGAACCATTTGTATATGTAAAGCTGAGACGCATTCGGGCGTGTTTCTTAATTGTTGTCTTGTTGTAACCCTCATCATTAATAGAGGAACTTGAAAAGTCTGCCAGTGGCAATGTAATCCAATTAAGGATGAAATTATAAGTCTTTGGTGTATATTTCTTCTCTTGGCCTTTTTACCACTATTACCATAGGAAGTGGAGTGTCCGTGTCGGACACGCTCCGGACATGTGTCGGGCAAAAAACGTGTCCGTATTTTTTATTATTTTTTTTATTATCAGACATGGCAAGGGACACGGCCACACAAAAAATTATATCTAAAAAAAAAAATCCCAAACCTAATGTCAGTACTCTCCCCCCCCATCTCGATTACTCTCTTCTTCTATCCCTCTCTTACTGCTTTGCCTCCCACAAATAACCAACTTTACGCCTTTGCTGCCAACGACCAAATCTCTCTGCAGTGCTGCCACCGCCACCACTCGCCGTTAACACCGAGACCCACTTGTCGTTGAGACAGAGGAGAAGAAGTAGAAGAAAAGTGAAAAATAATGATTGGAATAAGAAGAGTTAATAGAGCCTGAAGATTAAGGAGAAAAAATAAGAACGAGGGGAATGGAAGAAGAAAAGACAGAAGGTGGAGATGATGGAGAAAAGTTAGAAGCATTAAAGATTGCATGCTGGACCACTCCTCCATGACTGACAAATGACAACTACTCTCTCCAAATAAATACTCCATTTAACTCTTGGAGTCTAATAAATAAGCATAATTTAAAGCTGGTTTTAATTTTTAGGTCTATTTAATATTTTTTATTTTAAAATTTAATTATGTAATTATTTTTATTTTATAGATAATACTTATTTAATATTTTATTATACAATCTCGTTTATCTACAAAATGTTGTATAGTTAATTTATTTATATTTTAATATTTTTCTTTAAAAAATAACGTGTCCCCCACGTGTCTGTGTCCTATATTTTTAGAATTGACGTGTCGCCATGTCCGTATCGTGTTGTGTCCCGTATCCGTGTCCATGCTTCTTATACCAGTGTTATTGTCTCAAATTTCTAGACACCAACCTTCCTACTTATCTCTTTTCAGGCTAGCCAAGGTGACAACATTGACAATATGATATTGTCAATATCACAGGGTATTTTACGTGGGAAGGAGCAAGCCTTCTCTTCCTCGAAACTTGAAAGGCCTCTGTATAGTCAATATTAGAGTGAAAATAATTGCACTCTTATCTTATGAATGGAGATTTTCTCCATAAGAAAGTGTTCTTTAGAGGAGGGTGATTGTTCCAAAATACGATATTATTATTTTTTGGTGTAAAACAAGAAGAATTCCTATTGGAAGTTCGCCCTTGGTTTGTCATAGTAAATGTTGGAATATGGTAAAAAAAAGAAGTTCCTTTTTCAAGTTGGTAAAGATGCAAGAATTAGATTTTGGGAAGACAACTGGATGATCAACTCCCCATTTTATAATTTATTTCCTAACGTCTACTTCAGTTTTGAAGCAATAGAGATGCTCATTAAAAATTTTTGGAACAAGGAAAATCGAGGTGTATAAAGAAAATCGGCCATCATGGGATGGCCTAGTGGTCAATAAGGACTAATCTAAATAGCAAATGGCTTAGAGGGAATGAGTTCAAACCATGGTGGCCACCTACCTAGAATTTAATATCCTACGAGGTACCTTGTCAACCAAATGTGGTAGGGTTAGGCGGTTGGCTCGTGATTAGTCGAGGTGCGTGCAAGTTGACCCTGACACACGAATATAAAAAAAAAAAAAGATATCTCTGGCTTAGAAGGAATTTATTAGGAATTTATTTGGTCCTAAAGTTGGAAAATGGACCTTGTTTACCAAAAAAAATTGGAAGAGATTGACCTCAGTGAAAATGAGGATTATGTGTGCTGGAATTAGTCAAATTGGTTTCTTCCTCTAGTAAGTCTACTGCCTCTAGTCTTTGTACTAGCCCTGCTACGTTGGAAAATAAGGCCATATCTTCGATTTGGAAAGAGAAGCTACAAAGGAGATTAAGTATTTCCTTTGGAGTTTGGCTTGTAGAAGGCTCAATACCAGCTGTAGAAATCAGAAGAGGCAAATCCTAATTTCAATCTCTCCTAAAATATGCCTCAATTGTTGTGTTGAAGAGGAAAACAGGGACCAACTTTTATTCGTTGCCAGCTGAGTTAACATATTTGATTTTATGTTTCGTGCAGTCTTAAACACACTACTATTGCTACTATTTTACTTCAAGAAACTCTCTAGGGTAGGTGGCCCAGAGCAGGCCGGTGGCTTCAAGATCTCTTCTGTGGTCTCTCTGGATGGAAAGAGATAATAGATTCTTTTTCAGGTGACAAGTACAGGGTTGTTTTCTTTTTTAATCATTTTGACAAGTACAAATGGGGCCTTTTGCTTCAGCTCCATTCATTATTATCCTCAACCAACCCTACGGATAACTTTGCAAACCAATGGAGTTTTCATCTCTAGAGAGAGTTTTCAATTTAAGGCATTTTGTCAAGTCCACCCCATTATTAATGGCGCCATCGTCGTCAAAAGAAGGAAGCCATTTGTAAGCTTGGAGCGCCATTTGTAAGCTTGGAGCAGCTCTCCCAACCAGAGCTACACAGTCGTCATCCCCATTGCCTTCCCAGGGCACTCCCTTCTCACCGCCCCAAACGAAGCCAATCTTAGATCACTCTCCATCACCTCCTCCCCCATGAATTGATTGGGGTCGAACTTCTCTACCTCTGCCCACACCCACCYCTTCCCCCATGTTCACCATCGCCATTGTGCTGGCCCGGATGAAGCTCCGACCGACATGGACGTTGTGGACAGCCAGACGGGCCCATGACAAAAGAGGGCTAGGTGGGTGCATTATTAAACACTCCTTCACCACATACTAAAGAAATGAGAGATTTGGAATGTCGGAATCGGAAATGGTTATGGATTTTCTCACCACCCCCATCATGGAAATCATAGCACCTTCCAAAAATTGTGAGTGCTTTGTACTCCTTTTAAAATTTAATGGACCAGTCTGGTTTCTTAAAAAAAAAAAGAGAGAGACTAGTTTCTGTTTTTATTTACTTGCATCCATGGCTTGGTTACAACACATTCTTCCTTGTGATTTTTCTCACACTATATATATACCAACATATATGTGCTCACCAATAGACTAKSCTTCTATGTGCATGGTGTGGGGTAATAATGTTTGAGTGGTGCTTTTCTACAGCATGCTGCYGATGAAAGAATCCGACTTGAAGATCTTCGTCGAAAGGTAAACAAGTTTGTTTGTTGAAATAATTCTCTGKGACTTCTAATAAAGCCATATATACACAGTTGTTGTCTGGYGAAGCAAAGACTATAGCCTATCTGGATGCTGAACACGAGCTGGTAAGAATTTGATGTCTTATGGTCTGTTTTGCTTTGATTGGAAGRGATGTATATTTACCCTGCTGTTTGTTTGTAATAGATGCTGCCAGAKATTGGGTATCAGTTATTGTATAACTATGCTGGCCAGGTTAAAGAGTGGGGTTGGATCTGTAATATTCATGATCAAGACTCAAAATCCTTCCWGAGGTATCCTGTGTCTCCCTTGAACCTTCTAAATTGTTCTTTRCCTCTATAAAAGAATATTATCTATCCTAATCTAGCTATGTTAAGCTAGAAGACAACTCAGCATGCTAATGAGAGTAAGGGGCAACAGTTCTTGATTCATTGGGAAATATATGTATTTTTCATCGATAAACTTGTGCCAGGTGAAGACTGCCTAAGGTAGTTTCTTTTGGTTTTAATTAAAAAGGATTAATTAAGAGATGATTGGTTTGTTTGGATTTACCCAGTTTATTCAAATTGTCTGATTCACCCAGACATCAAGTTTGCCAAAGTAATATTTGGTTTTCTGTGCAGGAATCTGAATATTCTACACAAGCAGGAAACAGTCATCACGCTAATGGCAGTTAATCACCATMTTTTTTGCTTCTTTGATTATTACATTCGATTTTTGGAATCAAAACCAGCAAAGCATTTAGTGTGATGTAATAGCAATTGTCAAGTTTGTGYTTGAAATTTGTAACAGATTTATATTTCTTGTTTGAATTCCAATTCATGTGTATGGYACAGGTACCTTGCATACTAGGTGTTAATTTGTCTGATGTGGATCTCTTGGAATTTCTTCATCAGGTAACTGAGGACCTCGCCTTTTAATACAACTTTTATTTTTCTCAWATATTAATTTTATTTAGCTACATTGTTCCCTTAGACACYTGAATAATTTTGCAATATTGCTATGTTGTATGCATAAGCTTGCTGATACAGATGGCTCATCGACAATGCCGCCATCCGTGCTCCGAGTCCTAAATTCAAAGGCCTGTAGAGGTACATGCTTAGTCTCTTATAATGTTTGCAAATGCTATGTRCTCTGGCAAATTAAACGTTATAGATTGGGTCAACTTGAAACTTTTTACGATATAWTTTTAGCTATAACATGGCAAGTTTTGTCATAAACTATGTTTAAAAAGTTACTTCCATAGTTCCATGTAGTTTCTCCTCACTTTGAAGCTAGATAGATAGCAGTCATTCAATACACTCCCTGCTTACTGTCTCATTTCCGAGCCTAAAGAAAGCAACAATYTGTCGACTGGTAGTGCTGTGTGTGTCTGCATCTTGATTAAAAATTTCTGTGTTAAAATTATTTGATTAGGTGCAATTATGTTTGGAGACTCTTTGTTACCTTCAGAATGTTCCCTCATTGTTGAAGAACTAAAGCAGACTTCTGTGTTTCCAAGTGAGTGAATAATCTTTCAAGCCTCTTTTTGAAGTTTTGACAAGATTCTCTATATTTTCGTTAGTTTTTCTTTTGGGGGTAGGAAGAGGAGGAAGTGACTAGTAATTGAAAAGTATGAGATGTTAAACGTGCAGTGTACCCATGCACGACCCACGACAGTACCTCTTGTGAACTTGGAGGCCTTGCACAAGCAGTTAAGGGAGCTGGAAGTATCAAACAAAAATGGTTCAAATGGAACATGGCATGGGCTGCAGCAACACGAGCTGAGCCTTGAACGGACATTGCAGCRCTTAAGTTCAGCCGAAGGTTTATAGTGCTGCTGGGAATTGGTGAAGGAGATGGCCATGCCAGTCTGAGGAAGAGGATGGATTGTACAGCTTTATTAGATCATGTATAGAACTAAGTTGGATGATGATTTGTGAAGAAGAGTATGGGCACGAGGCTGTTGATGGTTTTTCAAAATCTTAGAGTTTTGGTTGTAATTCTGCCAATARAGCTTCTCTACCCTCCACCTAAATAAATACTTCTGCATTATGGGTGTGGTGGATAAATAAAGCAAATTCTTTTATGTTATTTGTTGAAAGAAATACAGGACTTATCGGATGATTTGTTTTGGTTTTCTTTTGGAAATTGCATTCTCAAAAGTCAAAACTGCCATTGGCCATAATTTCTAGATAGATTTTCGTGTCGAAAATGGGAAGACCTAAGAACCATAATTATATCTTACAAAAACACAATATAAATGATTAAAAAACTCAAATAACAATGCATCAATAAGTATTTAAATAATTAGTAGTAAACAAACTCAWTTTTAAAAAATAGAGAACTAAATACAAAAATAGTTATCAAAGAAGCATATCTTATAAAGAAAAAAAGTTACAACTATGATTTTGTTTTTATAACTAAATTTGTTCACTCGCCCTTCTTTTTTTTTATTATTATTTTTTTAAATAATCTTAATTGTGAAAATATTTTTAAAAGTAAAATAACAAAATGAAAAAGCGAATATGTACAAACTCAACATTTGAAAATCGAAAAATAGAAAACAAAAACATTATCAAACCAGATATAAAAGGTTCTTGAATTCTTGTTGTGTGCTTGTTCCAAACTCCAATTATCTTTTCTCTATAGGTCATAYTTTCAAACAAAAATGTTCTCAGACAAGACCAGAACAATAGGGTGTACCTGTGAGATAGAATCAAACAAACATTAATGGAAGAGAGAAAAAGAAAAAAAAGAAAGAAAAGAAAAGAAATGAGAATGGCTACAACTAAAATTTAAACATTGATATACACACACAACCGCGGGTAGGATTTGAGGCAGCAAAAATCACATGATTGATCATACACAGCAACTAGAGTTAATTGTCGATGGCCTTACGAACAAGCATCTCTGTTATTATTATTACCAGTAGCAGCAGATAAAGCCTTCCAGATAGGGACCRACATTTTCAGTGGTGGGCGTAATTCCTAGAGAGACAGAGCAASTATTTTTCAACTGGCATAAACAACAAAATATAATATAATGCAGAAGAGTATGTTTGGCTCACTGTTTTAATTTGCTTAGATTTGTATAATCTATGTTTAGATAATACAAATGAATGGATTACAGAATCATTGGGTACTTGTGTTTGATTCATAGGTTTGTTATTCTAAAAAGTTAATACATAGTATAAAAGGTATGGTTTTGTAAGCCTGAATTTATGAACTCCATGAAATTGAAAAACCTATAACTGGGGATGAGCAAACTTGCAAACCAAATATAGGTTTAGTTTCTCAACCCCAAGTCATGCAAGCCTAACTCGGGAGCAAAACATTTATTTAGTGTGCATTTCCATCTACTACTGCTATATCATTAGCATACATAGCTCATGTGCCAGGTGAGGAAATTTCGAATAAACAATAAAATTACCTTGAAAACCAACAATAGCTTGTCTTCCCCTTGTATAATCAAAGACAAGCTCCAGTCACAAGTAACTGGAGTCACGCATTCAAGGAGAACTGGTTTTAGAAGTTTATCGACAGGCACAAACCGACAGATGACTTTTCCACTACAATAAGAAACAAAGAAACAGTAACTAACTAGGAGAATCTGTAAAAGAAATACACGAGGCATGGCCGTGTGCATGTGTTTTTAATGGCAAATGAACTGCTGATGCATCTATTAGATTCAGCAACGTGAAGCCAGGTTTAAGATGGTCCCAATAACTTCTTTTATATTTTTTAAATGAAGAACTAAAGCTAACTAACCTAGAAGGATTACCAAATCCAAAAAACAAACTTCAGCGTCCAATGTTATATATGATGCCTTGAAAAAGAAAGTTCTTGCCAATGAAACAACTTACTGAAGGAAAAAGTTACCTCCTATAGTGAGTTTCAAGTTGGACTCCAAAATTTGGCATAACCATAACAGACTCTGCACATTTAGACGTCCCCTTCCATCAAAAGGATATGATAACATTATAAAGAATTAGACAGAGAACCTTCTCCAATTCCTCACCTTTTTCAACCGTTTCCCTGAACAACTTCTTGGCAAAGAATACATTCAAGACCAAGCACCAAAAGACGACAAAGATTGATTGGTCCTGTTAAACCCAGAGTCAATGGTCATGCTCTGAAAATAACTTTAACAGATTTCTCAAGTGTGCTGTTCGAATATCAAAAGTAATCCTATCTATTGATACTCTCACTATGGTTTATGTAAATATTTCTGTGAAACTAAGAAAGAGAGATGTGCCTAAAGCGGCATTGAGCTCAAATAAACATCTTAAAAGGGAACATTTAGGCATTTCAGTTCAATCAGTTTCAACAAACTTTGATAGAATATACCTGTAAATGAACTGATATTCTAAGGCCATGAAATTGAGCAGTACATTACATTTTACAAACATACCGAGACTAAAATAACAGTAACAATAAGATCAAATACAAAAATAAAGACAGCAGAGTCAAACTGGTAAGAATTAGAATGAATTCATATTCGAATTTCAAATTTCACATAAAAAATTGAGTGAGAATGAGATCAGCAACAAATTACCTTGAGTAGCAAAAAACAGAACGCAAGGGCAGCAAAAATACACAAGAGGAAACCCTTTCCACCACCCTTACTCCTACGAACAACAACGTGGTGGATATCAACTGCTTCAGAAGGCCMTTTACTGTCGCGGAAGTATCCGTATCTCCAATTCGTAATGGAAAACTTGGCCATTTTGGCATTCTTCAACGTGTTCCCATAAATTTTCTCAGATAATCAGCATTACTCTGGGAGAAGTTTCGGATCAGCAGTATCTGAAGGATTTAATAAGTATAACCTACAAACAATCTTCCACAGTGCAGTGTAACAATTGGCGTTTCAGAATTGATCGCCATTTGAGCTTCAATATACGATCRTCTGACCTCGAGAAGATTGAGTCGCATTTCACCGCAATAGTGATGGCTCGGCCTCCGCCTTCGCCTCCGCCGCTGGCCTTATGAGAAAGCCCTCTTCGTCATCGGAGCCGATACGGCAGGCCCAGTTCCAAGCCCACCCAACTTCATCGCACTCTTTGGGCTTTAGAACACATCAGCCCGTACTCCAGCTCTCTCTCTTTNAGGTATGGTTTTGTAAGCCTGAATTTATGAACTCCATGAAATTGAAAAACCTATAACTGGGGATGAGCAAACTTGCAAACCAAATATAGGTTTAGGTTCTCAACCCCAAGTCATGCAGGCCTAACTCGGGAGCAAAACACTTATTTAGTGTGCATTTCCATCTTTACTACTGCTATATCATTAGCATACATAGCTCATGTGCCAGGTGAGGACATTTCGAATAAACAATAAAATTACCTTGAAAACCAACAATAGCTTGTCTTCCCCTTGTATAATCAAAGACAGGATCCAGTAACAAGTAACTGGAGTCACGCATTCAAGGAGAACTGATTTTAGAAGTTTATCGACAGGCACAAACTGACGGATGACTTTTCCACTGCAATAAGAAACAAATAAACAGTAACTAACTAGGAGAATCTGTAAAAGAAATACACGAGGCAGGGCCGTGTGCATGTGTTTTTAATGGCAAATGAACTGCTGATGCATCTGTTGGATTCAGCAACGTGAAGCAACGTTTAAGATGGTCCCAATAACTTCTTTTCAAATGAAGAACTAAAGCTAACTAACCTAGAAGGATTACCAAATCAAAAAAACAAACTTCAGTGTTCAATGTTATATATGATGCCTTGAAAAAGAAAGTTCTTGCCAATGAAACAACTTACGGAAGGAAAAAGTTACCTCCTATAGTGAGTTTCAAGTTGGACTCCAAAATTTGGCATAACTGTAACAGACTCTGCACATTTAGACGTCCCTTCCATCAAAAGGATATGATAACATTATAAGGAATTAGATAGAGAACCTTCTCCAATTCCTCACCTTTTTCAACCATTCCCCTGAACAACTTCTTGGCAAAGAATACATTCAAGACCAAGCACCAAAAGACGACAAATATTGATTGGTCCTGTTAAACCAAGAGTCAATGGTCATGCTCTGAAAATAACTTTAACAGATTTCTCAAGTGTGCTGTTCGAATATCAAAAGTAATCATATCTATCGATACTCTCACTATGGTTTATGTAAATATTTCTTTGAGCTCAAATAAACATCTTAAAAGGGAACATTTAGGCAGTTCAGTTCAATCCGTTTCAACAAATTTTGATAGAATATACCTGTAAATGAACTGATATTCTAAGGCCATGAAATTGAGCAGTACATTACATTTTACAAACATACCGAGACTAAAATAACAGTAACAATAAGATCAAATACAAAAATAAAGACAGCAGAGTCAAACTGGTAAGAATTAGAATGAATTCATATTCGAATTTCAAATTTCACATAAAAAATTGAGTGAGAATGAGATCAGCAAAAAATTACCTTGAGTAGGAAAAAACAGAATGCGAGGGCAGCAAAAATACACAAGAGGAAACCCTTTCCACCACCCTTACTCCTACGAACAACAACGTGGTGGATATCAACTGCTTCAGAAGGCCCTTTACTGTCGCGGAAGTATCCGTATCTCCAATTCGTAATGGAAAACTTGGCCATTTTGGCATTCTTCAACGTGTTCCCATAAATTTTCTCAGATAATCAGCATTACTCTGGGAGAAGTTTCGGATCAGCAGTATCTGAAGGATTTAATAAGTATAAGCTACAAAGAATCTTCCACAGTGCAGTGTAACAATTGGCGTTTCAGAATTGATCGCCATTTGAGCTTCAATATACGATCATCTGACCTCGAGAAGATTGAGTCGCATTTCACCGCAATAGTGATGGCTCGGCCTCCGCCTTCGCCTCCGCCGCTGGCCTTATGAGAAAGCCCTCTTCGTCATCGGAGCCGATACGGCAGGCCCAGTTCCAAGCCCACCCAACTTCATCGCACTCTTTGGGCTTTAGAACACATCAGCCCGTACTCCAGCTCTCTCTCTTTGTCTATAAGGAGCGGTAATCGAACTTACAACCTCTTAAYGAGAGATATATATTAATTACCACTCAGTTATACTTTAGTCTTGGTTGGTCTATTAGGTAAGTATTTTTATTGGGACAACTAGAGGAACGACTATATTAAATATAGAGTTGTTCAACGCTAGAATTTATTGTGGACACATATGCCCTCCCACCAAAATAGTTAAAGTTATACTACTATTACCCCTAAAATTTTGTGGTAAAAATGTCCTTGAAACAATTGTTTGCTATCACTTGTTCTCATGAAATAAATTAGTGAATCAAAATTTTAAAGTTCAAACTTTCAAAAATAAAATCGGTTTTGATATAGAAGAATATGAAAATTGTCCAACAAAACGTAAACTCAATGTAGAAAAGTGGAAAATGAGTATAAAAAATAGGATTGAAAAATAAAATATTGTTTTTAAAACTATGGAGGGGTAGCTACATTGGAGACACAATAATTGATACTGTGGCAACCTTCAAACTCACGAACCGTCTCCTTCTTCCCCAAAAAACATAATCGATCCTTGGCACTGGATTTTATTTTCTATAGATGTGTCGCCGACAGAAAATACTAGAAGGCAATGTTTCCATCCATCTATTGATGTTGCCAAACTCGTAAAGAAAAATTTAAACCTCCATCACCATCAACCTTGTGGTCTGTGTATGTCCCTGTAGACATATATAGGGTAAATACGCATGTAGACATAATAAAGACAGAGTAAGTAGAGATACACACGGTACCTGGATTTTTCTCGATCAGCTTAGCTGCAAAAGACAGGATGAGAGCATACGACTGTTCGGGTGACCTCTTAATAAGGTTAAAGCTTTCTCTCTTCCTCTCCAGACCTTGTCATTAGGGATGTTCACGGGTTGGGTTGGTCGGGTTAGGAGTATTTTTGGGATCAACCCGAATTTTCGGGTTGGCCATATATGAGAATCGACGGGTCTAAAATCGATGGCCAACCGAACCCAACCCAACCCAAAATTTTCGGGTTGGTCGGGTTGGGTTGTCGGGTTATTTTTTTTCATATATTTTTCTAACCTCAAAGGTACAAAACGGCTTACGTAGAAGAATCAAAACCTCATTCACTGGGGCTCCTTTCGTGATAATTGATAACTCTCCAAATAGAGAGCTATTTGGGTATAATGTTGGTATAAATTAGCTAAAGATAGCATCACTTGCACCCTTATTCACTGAGTTTATGCTAAAAAGATCATAAATACTAGCTTTCTACATTGTAGTATTGTCAATTGCAATTGAGCTAATTTGGGTACATTTTGCTACAGCTTTGACGATGCTACAGGATTAGATCCATATTTAAAAAGCAGCAAAAAACGACAAACTGACAGTGAAAGGATTGCTCAACGGGATTTACCACAGTAACTCGGAGAAATGTCTGGAATTTAGAGTTGGGGCCCACTTTATCCTTTGTGTTGTCCTAAAATTAAGGATGGGTATAAAAGTCCCCTTTTAAGGCAGCCTCTAGAAGAATTCTTCCCCACTCCATTTTGGAATCATCCATCTCACTTTCTAAGAAAACCTTTGCTCGTGGAAGAGGAAGAAGAAGCCCATAAATCTGCTGCTAAAACAGACAACAAGAGGATTTCGCTTTGAGCTGAAACCTTCAGCTCCTTCTCTTCATCTTTGAATCTTTTTGTTTTATTTTCATTCTAGTTTTTATTTGATTTTCTTGTATGGCTTTGCGTAGCTAATCTAATTTATGAGAGGGAGGTTCTTGTGAACCCTTGTGGCTATAGACTTTGTTACTGTTTTTAAATGATGAAGAACATTAAGTTGAAGTTGTTTTATAAATTTATTTTCAATATGCTTGATCACCATGTTGGAATACCTTCTTGTTAACTTTTGGAAAATCGTAATAGGAAGCAAAATACTTCATCTCGAGCTAGAGTCTACTTGAGTTTAGCGTGTGATGACTTAGGGATAAGCATCACCTAGCTTGGTCATGTAAACTGTGCATATATGCTCTTATTGTTTGTCTATGAATGTTAACAGTAGAAAATCTGAGAAATATGGGAAGATTCCATGTCTGTTTGGCCAATGCTCTAGCATCGTTTATGTCGTCTGCTTAAGTCCACAAGAGTCACTTCTTACTCACTTTAATATTAGTATTTTAGTTCATATTTGCGCATTTTCCTCAAACATTTTGCTGTCATGGATTTAGAATATGGTAATATGCTTTTCACTCAAATCCTCACTTAGGCATACGATTTAGACAAAGTTCCTCACATTAAAGAATAACTTAACCCAAACATTAACTAAAATAACTCTTTTTTACAGAGTTATGAATGAGCTCTCGACAGAAGGAGCTTGCCCCAAGGATAACCTCGAGGCCAAGGACAAGATCTTCAAGGAGCATACCCTAGCCAAATCAATGATGAGCCCTCAGTAGAAGGAGCATGCTTGGCCATGGAACCTCGAGGACAACCTCAAGGCCAAGGATCAAAGAACGGGACCCTCGTCGACGGAACCTACCCCAAYCAAGTTGATGCAAAGGCCAAAGGGATGAGTCCTTGGCAGAAAGAGCCCGCTTCAACCATAAAGCCTTGAGGCCAAGAATTTAAGGATAGGTCTCACCAAAGGAGCCTATCCCATGTTGATATCACATTTCAAAATTCTAACATAACAAAAACTCTTTAATACAAAGTTACGGTAATATTTCAAGAAATTTATTGAGTGCAGGCTTACATGAGCATAGTTCAACTAGTGAAGACATTACTTTACTTCCCTAAAGGTGGTTCAAATCTGACAACCCTTGTTGAAAGAAAAAAAATATTATTTAGTGKGTAGTATATTRTGTTGAAATTATGATAGGAAAAAGTGAGACTCGTTGGGAAAAAAAAGGACCAAAATGGTCACTCTCTAAAAGTACATGGATCGAAATAAAAGGATAGAAATTTTTGTGTCAGTTGTTCCCTAATATTAACACAACACCCTTCTCAACAATCTAATGAACGACATTTTGAACATAGTTCAACTAGTGAAGACATTACTTTACTTCCCTAAAGGTGGTTCAAATCTGACAACCCTTGTTGAAAGAAAAAAAATATTATTTAGTGTGTAGTATATTATGTTGAAATTATGATAGGAAAAAGTGAGACTCGTTGGGAAAAAAAAGGACCAAAATGGTCACTCTCTAAAAGTACATGGATCGAAATAAAAGGATAAAAAATTTTGTGTCAATTGTTCCCTAATATTAACACAACACCCTTCTCAACAATCTAATGAACGACATTTTGAACCCACCCTATACACTTTTTACATGCCCACAAAAGAGGTTTGATATATAAACCCTTCTAGCAGTTTTAAATCTTTCCATGTGGGACAAAATTAAAGCATTTTTTATCCAAAAAGTCTTATCATACCTAACACAAAATAGATGTTTTAATAGTATAGGGACTAAAATAGATAAGACACCAAAACTACCCGACCAAACTAAACGTTTTGTACAAGTACACCAAAATAGACATGCCAACCCTTGTTTAAATTTGAAAAAAAAAGTTACTAAGTGTAGTAATGTGTTATGTTGAAATTATGATAGGAAGAAATGAGATTTAAACTAAAAGATGTCACATTTTAAAAATATATGTATCAAAAGAGATGTTTTGAAAGTATAATGACTAAAATAGACAAAATATTAAAAGTACATGAATCAAACAGAATATTTTGAAAGTACCCTAGACTAAAATAGACCAAAGCCACAAAAACTCATTTAGGGGCGGTTGCAAATATGGCAAAAATATTTAGCAAAATAAACAAAATAGCTACTACATTTAGTTTTTCCAAATATAGCATTTTTCCAACAAAAAACGAAGGTCCAATTTTAAATTTACAATTTTACCCTACAATATATCTAATATACATCTATAATATATCTGCGATTTATCTAATTAGTGATATATGCCTTTTATATACCACTGATATAATAATGATATACAATTGATTTACTTCTGATATAACTATGATATCTACTAAACTTCTAACATGGCTTACCACTGATATACGTATGATAACCATTGATTTATCACGTCGATATAATATTTATATTTCTGTGATATATAATTGATATGTCTTTAATTTACCATTGTTATACAAATGATATACCATTGATATAACTATGATATCTACTGATATAACTTCTTATAAATGATTATATGTACCACTAATATAACACTGATAGATATTTGATATATACTTATATGCTTCTAATTTACCATTGATATATACCTCTAATATAACTATGATATCCACTAATATAACTATGATACATGTGTGTTGATATAATACTATTATATCCACTATTTTTTCATATGAAAACAATGGTGCAAAAAAAAAAATTTGAAATATAAAGTTATTGTATAAAAGATTTATGTGGATCATGCACGTCCAAAAAAAAAAAAGTTAAAAATCTGATATACTTTATAAATTTAAACAGTTTATATCCCTTATATTTAGTATCTAATTAATATTAATATAGAATAAATAGTAGTGATATAGTAATCAATATTATTGATAATATTAGTATATCAACCAATAAATTGCAATGATAAACTATAATTTAAACAACTAATATACCTTATATTTAGTATATCAGTTACAAATATATTTAGTATATCATAAATTTGAAGTATATCAGATATATAAATATATATATATATATATATTAGAGGTATAATACATACATCTAATAATGTATATCATGAATGTTAAAAAAAATGTATTATGGGTACATCTGATAATGTATATCAATAGTACATCAGATGTATATATGAAGTATATTAGAGATACATCGAATATATATCAAATATAGATTGAATGTATATAAGATACATATATACATTGGATATATATAATATCTAATATACATAAAATTTATATCTGTATATGTTTTGCTATATTTGAAATTTTGAAAAGCTGGTGACATTTTTTGAAATACGTAAATTATTTTTGCTACCCACTACCATTACCCATAACAAAATTTAA